AAAAGAGAGGAGTAACCCGATTATATGTTATAAAAAAAAAAAAAAAAATAAAACAAAATGTTCTATTGTTTTTATGACCAGAATGACGCATTACGCGCGTGCCGTCATCTTAAAGGGGTCGAATTTCCGAAAATTCCGTCTTACCACACAATATATTATGAGGAACGTTGTGGACATTGTAATGATATAGTTAGTGAATGAGCGAGCGAGTGGTATTTTTGGCTTGTACAATCGATTGTAATCGAAAAATTATTCTGAGTACGGCACGTTTAACTAAAGCTGGTTACCATGACAATTTTTTATAACGCATAACTGACTATAATGTCGTCAAAAGTCAGGATTTCCCCGATATCAGAAAAATAAAAGGAATTTCGAATAATTGTTTAAATAAGTTATTATCTGGTGACATTTTCTCGTATTTTAAGCTATTATTATCTATACAGTGTATGTGTTGAAAAATTAGATAGTTTTTAAACGTGTTTTCCAAAAAAAAATCCTCCTAGTGTTATGTGCGTTTTTATCGTGATTTTATACGGCGAGCAGTTAATGTATTTTAAAATAATAATAATTTTTTTTTTTTTTTTTTCAGGTAAGCAATAATATTTTGAATCATGGTCGAGTAGATAATTTCACGGGTTCTACAATATTAATGTACGTGAGTATTAATTTGTGAAATTGTCCGGAGATTAAAGGGGTTGATAATGTTGCTGCAGGTCGAGTTATTATTTATTTCCAGAAAATAGAACATTCTGACGGCGATATTTATAGCAATGGGAGTTTAGGTAACCGTATTATATCACTTCACTAAAATTGAACACTTAAGCCAACCGGCACACAACCTGTACGAAATGATAATTTTATGTAAAACTCGAATGAAATTTTCGCGTAATTAAAACTGATAAAACGAAACGCTCTTGGCACGAAAATTAAACCTATCCGTAAACGTCCTCCTGTTGTTGGGTTAGGACACAGCAGAATATATATTATAATTAACCTCAATCCCCGAGATAAATAACAAAGTCGTTCGTTTGTCCGTTATTATACTTCCTACAATTTTCGAATAATTGACGATAATGATAGAATATTAAAAAGCATTGCATATTTACATATTATTTTAACAAACCTCTGTGCAAAATGTCAAGATATTTAGACCTGCAGTTGGTATTGAGATACTGTAATGATAGTCAACGAGTGAGTGACTTATATAATAGATTTCAATTGAAAAACGATTCTGAGTACAATTCGTTAACCCAAGGCAGGTTACAGTGACTCGTACTGTATAGTATATTATAAATATAATTGTACGTCGTTAAAAGCCAAACGAATTTTTTAGGTTTTTTCAGGGATCTTTTCAGGTTTAGATTTCAATAGATTTCAATAGATTTCAATTGAAAAACGATTCTGAGTACAATTCGTTAACCCAAGGCAGGTTACAGTGACTCGGACTGTATAGTATATTATAAATATAAGTGTACGTCGTTAAAAGCCAAACGAATTTTTTAGGTTTTTTCAGGGATTTGTTTAGGTTTTTTCAGGGATCTTTTCAGGTTTATCTACTACGTATGTGTGAAAATGCGTACATTTTTAACGGGTGATTTTTAAGAAAAAAAATCATATCATAACGTGCGTATCAAGTATAGAAAAGCAAGGGCGGATTTTGTGAAAATGAAAAATATATTCTGTAGTCATTAGAATGGTTTGCTGCTATGTGTTCACCATACATTTTTATGGAGTAGAGACTTAGACTCTATCCATAGTATCGATCAATCGAATCAAAGCATTTGAAATGTAAATATATTACAAAACATTGAAAACTAATTGGTGCGATCGCACGACGAATATCAGCGTATTAGAATGAACGAACAAGGATCTTGAAGTAGTAAAACTATAAAAACGTGAAAACTTTAATATCTTGAAAATGTTATGTATCATCCGGAAAAATATAGTCTACTACAATTAATAATCCAAGGCAAAATAGTTGGGAAAACAAACTGTGGAAGACATCAAATTTCTTGGATAACCGACTTGGTTGGTTCAAAATATCTACCAACTAACTATTCAGAACAGCCATTAATAAAGACCAAATTACTAATATGATTTCCAACGTTCGTTAACGAATACAGCACTCAAAGACAAATGAAATTATCATGACATTATCCGGCGCACCGTGGGGTCGGATATTGAAAGTTAAGAAAAATAATACCTTATCAAAATTGAACTATGTCATCATAGTACTGTGTATAACCGTTCATCCTGCATTCAAAACCAGTTTCAAGCACAAAATACAGTTTAAATCGATTTAGTTTACTTACAGTAATAGTAACGTAAGTCCGTCGTACATAATACAATTTGAAACAAACCAATATATGTAACTTATTTTGAAGATTTACATTTTCGGTTCTAACTTTAAGATTTTAACGTTCGCCGACTTCAGATTATCATCGAGCCATTATAGCAACAGGGCAATTCAATTATTTAAATATCTTTCTTTTGTTTGTATATTGAGTCCGTTATTAATATATACTAAATATAAGTGATGCAAAGTCATTATTTTTTGAAAAATTATGGTAAAGAAATTCAAATTAAGTACACTTCTGGGTCTTTTTGAAATTCATTTACTTCAAAAATAAATGTTCAATAGAGTATTATTTCGTTGGTAAAAAGTTTACAAAGTCATTTGTTTATGACTGCGACGTCATAAAATAATTTGATACGAACAACAAATCCCAAATAGCTATAAATTTCTCAAAAATCAGCAAAACGTCTGGAAATTTTAACACGTCTAGAAAAAGCTAATGCTATAAGTATTCGGTAAAAATTGTAGGTATCTATTTGATTATTTTCATCAAAAAAGCAAAACCACTATTTCGTAATTATTTCTGTTTTTCGACGTTTTTTCTCGGTTTTTCCCAATTATCGAAAACGAAAAGGAAACTAAAAAAACAGCCTCCTTCAAAAGCATCGATAGACGAAATTCTCAACCCTGAAGTCCATGATCGGATCTATAATTCTAACGAAAAAAGTTTTTTTACAAATACGCATAAATAATATAAAATATTAACCTTATTTTCACCAACGTTTAATGTCATCAGCTTCACTGTGCGACGATTAATAGTGTAATACACTATTATAAATAAGGCCTACATTTTTAGGCACTTGCACATTTTTTATTTGTTGGTAAAATAAGAAATAGGTAGTTAATACCAAAATACGATTGCATTATTTTTCATATATTGGCGTTTTAGGATTTCGTACATTTTTAAAACGTTTTTGACTCGACAAATGGAGAATCACATAATAATATTGTTCAAGAATTATAAATATCAACGTTCAATATGCAAGCTGATAATATATTAGGCGCCTGTATTTCAGATTTTTAACTGTTAATTCATTCGAATAAGTCGTTATGAGTTATTTAATTTATGAATAAAGCCGAGTTGGCTAGATTAGAATGTCTTGTCTATGTATTTGTTCGTACATAATATGTACGACTTTGATTTTATTTGATCCAACAGTGGTTTATATTCGTGCGGTGCGTTAAATCGATCAATCGATTATTATTTTTTTGTTTAGAGCATATTTCGGTAATTTTTATGGCATAAATATAGCCGGCTTGTTGGGTAAATTTCTGTCGGCCATAGTTGTAAATTATTATAGTTATATAATATAACGGTTACTGCGAGATTGCGTTCGCGGTTGCTTATAAGTTATAATGATTTTAAAATAAACGGTTTTTTTTTTTTTTTTTGTTCCAGGTGGGTATTAAATAATATAAATTAACAATATTTAGCATGTACATATTAATATCTGGTCGTTCTGAACAACAGAATCGAATGGTTTTTTTACAAAATGATTAATCATACGTCATGACAGAATGCTTTATATTTTTGATGAGTTGGCTATGCGATTTTTCGTCCGTTCGAAATGACCTAATCATATCACAGTTTCGCATTTTTTTTCATTGTCATTATATTATTTCGTTCCTAATATTTTAGATTCCTACGATTATTTTTAACCACGAAAAAAATAAAAAATTAAAAATAACCTAACCGTACATTTCCCCATATTTCCTAAGGTTTTTTTTTTCCGATTTTAACCAATTAATAGAAAAATTACAAGAAAAATCAAAAAATTGCTTTCTCATTTCATCAGCTAGATCAAAAATTTAACAAAAAAAAGGTCTTTTGTTATGTTTTGATTGAAAATAGAATTCTGGTAAAAAAATTATTACCAGAAAACGGAAATCATACACATCATAATACATTAAATACATGCCTCTATTCACCAAGAATTGAAAAAATGTATATTTTTTATATTCAAGAGCCGGCGGGCTAAACACTCAAGTTTGAACAAATATTTGCTTTTTTCGGTTTTCTCCCCGTTCAAAAACAAGTATAAGTTTTAAACTTATGTTATGTACAATGAAGATCTTATAGCCCACTGAAGTGCGGTTTTTCTCAAGTCAATATAATTTACAATCGCGGTCGGCTAAACCTACAAAACAATAAGGCGAGTGTACTACAGTAGTTTATATATTGTCTTCTTTGATAAATATTGGTCCGCGCATAGTGAATGTATTTAAACAATCGTACAACTAAAATATTACATGTTTAATATTGTAAAAAGTTCGCAGTGTTTTCTTTTATTATTATTGTATACACTATATACGCTAAAATATTATGTGAAACGATAGTTCCATCGAGTTTAATTAAAATAAATTATCATCTGCTGAACGGTCACGTGTGATCCCGCGGCCAGGTTTACATCCAAGGAATAAGGCTAAGTTGCTCCAACTCCACTCCCACCCTACAACCGTTTATTAAGTTTTTACAGGTTTTCCTATTAAATATTTAAGTACACTATTATTTTTTTTATAACAACAAAATTAAAATTGTCCAAATATTATCTCTTGTTTTTATACGAATATAATTTTACAACAAAAATAACCGAGGATTTTTTAGCAAATAATAACTGATATATTATCAGTTATATAGTGATATCAATTTGAGTGTTATATCAAAATTATCGACAAACTCAGACATTATGTTAAACGATAAATTGCACCTATATTTCAATAAATTTAATACGGACCAAAACAGACAGATACAACAAAACGAAAAACAGCTATAGAGCCACTGATGCATTGTGATACATATTGCCCACAAGTATTAAAGTTCTACTTGTTGTACAAATGTTAACATTACAAACCATAAGCGTTACAGACGCAGAAATATTCGTATCAATTTTTAAATTATTTTTACAATTATTATTTTTTTTTTTTAACACGTCCTTCCGGGTGTTTTGTTTCCAATGTAAATATACCGGGTGTCTCGATCTTGTCATGCCAACAGCAGATTTTCGAGTAGCACTATGTATACTATGAGTATTTTGCACCATAGCACGTAAATAACCGATTTTATCTCATTAAAACAACGATGGGGGAAAAAAATTCATTTTCGCGAATGCGCCCGATAAAGTATACAGTATTTCGAATTAATTATATTGTCGGCGAGGCAAAATTTATATAATACCTAGACGAAAAAAAAATCATCATCTCCTACATAACGAGTATGTATTGCGTGCTGCGGGTTTACTTTTCTTTTCAATTTGTGTATAGTATACACACGTACCGTTTCAATGAATATTATAAATGCTCGTTCGGCGAAAATACGTGGGTACGTACGTGCGCATATAAAAGCGTCTCGTTAATTTCCGGAGTGAATAAAAGTAAAAAAATAAAACAAAAATATGTATAAAAAACTAGTAATAAAAATTTGTACCCGCGTATAAGCATACCTATAAGTCTGCGATATTTTCGTTTGAAATCGGTAAGCTTTTCGCTCCGTCAAAGGCCGCGGCGTACCATACCTACCTAACCTATGAGCCCGCCAGTACATTTTATTTGCGCGACCTTTACATCGGAAATAATTGGTCGGAGACCCGTGCCATCGAAAAAAACCACACACGAAACCACTATTATACATAATAGTATTATTACACATCAAAGGACGTGAATATATTATAATTTTACCAATACAAAATCAAAGATATTTTCCCTTTTCTCCTATCACGCATCACTCTCGCCTTAATGGTTTCATCGCGAACAACCGGACCGTACCAATACGGGTTTTTATTTTTTTATTTTACGTTACTTCATGTTTTAGTTTCGTGTCTGCATCCCCGGGTCGGTCACCGGAGACAGTCGCGATAAACGACCTCATAAATTTATATTGCTTTTCGGTATCGACTCGTCAAACATAATATACCGGTACGGGCCAAACGAAATTCTCGTTTCTTCATCTTTTCATTTCGATAATATATATATCGCCATGTCATTAATATTTATTTATTTATTTTGTGGTATCCCGCCTCGTAACCGGTCGTCCGTGAATATAGCGGTCATGTATCCGATGCCGAAATCTCCAACCAAGCTCTCGCGGTCGTTTTTTCGCCACTTATTCTTGCCGACTCGTCCTAGGCCTTTCCCGAAAGTTTTTTCCGCCGCTGGGCGCTGTTCCGCTGTGGGAGCGAAAACAAAGGACTGCGCGGTCACAGATAATAGAATATTTTGGATATCGGCGAAGAAAAAAAACCGTTGCGACGGTCTGGACACGCTTAATGTAATTAATAAATTGTACGCAATGACATCGTAGCATCGAACATGCAATACGTATATTAGTTCGTCGGTACACAAATATTTTGATTCAACGTAAACAACTGAAACTGAAGTCGACCGCTACGGTATAAAACACACGTACAGCTCGGTAAACTAAAATCATTCGTCTTATAATATATTTAAATCCCGAGCAAACATTCTAATTTCTTAAAAAACTGAAAATATTAAAAACAAACAACTAAAATTTTTTATTATTCTTAGTTTACACCTTCTAATATTCTTCTATAAATGAGGCTATTGTTGCGAGTTCTCTAGCTCGATTTTTTTAAATTTTTTTTTTTACCGTTGATTATACATGGATTGAACGATTGTTATAATAAAATAACGAAAATCAATCAATCGTCTTTTGTACGCGCGTGAAAATTATTTTTTGCATATGGCGAAACACTCGTAGATTTCTCGCGAAAACCCAAAAGCAACAGTTGGGTTTTCACGGGATTGGTGCGAAAATATAAAATGAAACATCATATAATGGAACGGGAAGAAAACTCGATTCACCGGTGCTCGTATCCCATCGCGACAAAACGTCCTCGTCACGCGATAATAATAATAAAAAAAAAAAAGTACCTCGCAATAAACGATTCCTATTTCATGACATTTTTAATGTTAAACATTATAGTATTAAAGTTATACTCGTTAATTTCAAACGATAACAGTAAAGCACCCTAAAAAAAAAAAAAAAAAATGAAAAACTGTTTTATTGTTCGGCGCTGTTTTTCGCGAAACGAAAATAATTATAATAACAATGCGAATTTCGTGTATTTAAAACGTCTTAAACGGTATTCCCCGGTGAAAATTTGTCGTAGTTTTTTGCAGACCATTTTTTCTTTGCCGAACTTGTTAATCGCATCTATAAATAACGTAATAATAACTATATTTTTCGCAAGAATTAAAATTTATTATGGTGTGTTTTTTGTTTATTTGTGTAATGTTATGTCAAACATAGGAAGGAAGGTAGTAATACAACTAGTAGGCTGAGCCTTTATTATGATTAGAAATAAATTATTCTTTGTAGCACCAAAACTTAGATCGACTGTTTCACACTGCAAAAACACATTTTTATACCTACTCCTTTATATTACATTCCTTATAGGTATTTCTACGTGATTATCTTATTATTTTAAATATAATTATCTTCTACTTCTACACTTAGTATCCTAAGTCTACTACCCCTCTTATTAACCCCCACTACATTTTACTACCCCACATTTCACCCCTTTATTTTCGTTCTTTCTTTATTTTTATTTTACCCTTTTCTATTTTTTGTATTACTACATTTGTTTTTTAGATTTCGAATAGCGACGAAATACTGGTAGCATCGGTAGGTTTAAACATTAGTTTTACTATGATGTGTGCTTAGAAGTCCTTATTTAACAGTTTGTCTATCAGAAATCTTAATCCAATCAAAAAACGATAAAATAAAAATGATTTTTTCTATGATTTAGAATCTAGTATATAGTGAAGGTTTTCGATTTTTCGATTTTCCGAGTAGTTTTTATGTTAATTATAAAGACCTGGTTTAGATTTTTGAATGTGTTTAGATATAGTATAGTAGGTGATGTGTTCGTGAAACATAGTTCCTGTACTTATAGTATAAACAATACTATTGTGAGGGAAGGATGTGAAGTCCGACTAAGGAATAACGATTCATTTTTTATTTTTTTTTTATGACACAATCTGTGAAAAAATCCTGCGCATGTCTACTGGCATGTACGTGCGATGGTTTTCAATTCATTTTTACTGATCTGATNTAACTCGTCGCGTTGGTTGCCGCCCGATTGGCCCTTGTATAACGTCATTTTGCAATCGCACGTTTTATACAAATAGATTTTAAACGGAAACGTTTTGCGCCTTAAATGACGTTGATTTTCTGACGCGACCCGCGGCGGCGGCCGTAGGAGCAATCGATTTTTTTTGAAAACGTTTTTTTTTTTTTTGTTTTTTAGATTTCCACGTCTTATATCATAAATGCTCGGCTGTAGTTTGGGCAATTTAGACCCCGCGCGATAGAAAGTTTCGGCTGTACGCACGCCCAATTTAACGGCGGGTTTGTTGTTACGGTCAGTATAACACCGCCGCGGACCCGGCCGCGTATACGCGTACCGATATCCGTTCCGGCACTTCTCTGAGAACGTTGCGCACGCCGTAAAAACGCACTTGTACACGCGGCTACGGGATATCGAAACGTCGACGGCGGTGCCTCGGCGGGCCATAATAGCGACGACCGTAATAATAATGTCGCAGATACCGACAATCTCGAAGCGAATTCGTCGGCGGTCTTTCCCGCGCCCGTAACCTACCCGACGCGGTTTCGCGTCACGGAACGAGGGTTACTATTTTCGACGGAATTTCGTCGACACGACCGAGCGACGACGACGACGGGGGACCGGCCGAAACAATTCGGAATCGAATTAAAACGTTGACACGTGCGACGCGGCGCGATCGCGTCCCCGCGCGCGCGATAAAACAAAGAGGCGCGGTAAATTCGAACAGACCGCCGCGGAGGGGTACGCGAAATAAGCGGCCGGCCGCGCGGCGCTGGCGATCGTGACGTTAAATTACCGGAACGGACGTTACGATGCCACCTACCCGGCCCGCGACCCGTCGGAACCGGGAAAACCGCGAAGCCGTCACGCGCCGCGCCGACCCCGTCACGTCTGCGGCGGCGGCGGCGGTCGCTACGCCGCAGGGAAATGACGATGACGGGCTCCGGCGGTAATACTATTATTATTATTATTATTATTATTATTATTATTTCGACAGTGTCACGGGAGTCCGCGCGCGCGTTACCGCGACCGCGGTGCATACCTGTAATGCGGCGGGGACGATAATAACGGGACGGCGATTTCGGCGGTCGGGATCTGTTTTACGGCCGACCCGACCGCCGCGCAAAACCCTATTACCGTCCGCGCGTTATTCGCGACTGTCGAAACGCCGACCCGGGGGGTCCGGGCGCCTTTGACGGACCGCGGCACCGAATTATAATAACATTATTACGATTACCGTCACCGTCGCCGTACGGATGTCATCGGGCTGCGTGGCCGCGGCTCCGGCATGCGTATTATACCCACGACGTTTGTCGTTATTCCGCCGGATGCACGCGATCTTAACCCGTGCGGAGTGGGTACAACGACGCCTGGCACGCGGGTCGGGCCCCGTAGTGATGGCGACAAGCCGTCGATGTCTTGAAGCTACACGCAATGGTCCTAACGTTTTACCGATAATTATCTTATCTTATCGATGCGATTTCGACGTGCACGAGTATAGGTCACACGTACGGGTACGGTTGGACGAATCGCGATTCCGTACCGGGTCGCGACCGGTTTGCAGCCAATCCGCGGTAAATGCCGTCGTCGATTCGGTGTTATAGTCGAGAAACAATTTTTCGACGATTACGCGGGGTCTGTTTTTGCGTGTACTACGTAATCCAATGCACGTAACCCGAAACTGTATACAAATATGTAATGGAAAAAAAAAAATTTAATTTATAACAGTTTCACCATTTCAATCGGTAATCGAAATTTAAAAAAAAAAAAAAAAAAAAAAAAAATAAAATCTCCGAAATCACTACATGATTTTATTTACTATTGATCTTTGATGGTGGTTGTACTGTACACTCAGCATCGGGCCGTATTCCATTGAAAATGTGTGTATTTGCAGCGAATTTTTGATATTTAGAAGAGAAATAATATGCAACGGGGTTTTTTTTCATGCTTAGCTTCCAGTTGAAAACACGTAACGATATTTTAAAAATAAAAATGTCGGCATTTTATCCGTACTTATTGCTTAATCAAGTATAAGAATAGTGTGATAGTAAAAAGCGAGGAAGTATCCACTTTGTATCTTGGAACCGAAGGCTGGTGTGGGGGGACTTGGGCCCGCACGTGTTTGCATTCGATTGTACGGAATAAATTGTGTGTAGTATGAAAAAAAAAACAAAACATATTTCTTCCCCCCTCCCACACACACATACACACACATTAACTTGAAAATACAATAACTGTGAGTATATTTTATTCGGTAATTTAATCTCGAAACGTGTATAGATAATTAGACTTCGATTATATTCTATATAACTTCGACAAAATTACACGAGGCGAAAAGCTCACGTTCTCGATAAAATATTGACTTTTTCGGATCCGGTTTTTGAAACCCCGTACTTCCAAATCGAGTAGAGACGATTCCACATGATTTACTTGTGTTTATTATTTGCTAATGTACGTACGTTATATTTGCAAAATGATAACATATGCATTCGAGTCCACAAAATGTGTACACAAACATCGAATTGATGTAAAATTATTTATTTTAAACATTACGCTTTTACCACTTAGTTTAACATTTTTCAAACAATTTATTTTCCAATAAAATATAGTAAAAAAAAATGCCTTAATATTTTTGAATTCAAATTTATTTAAACTTTCATTTATTTCTTAAATCTTGAAACAAATGTATTTTCAAAGCCGTCCTTTTCTCGTGTGACGATCAATTATTTTTGCATATTTCCCACACAGAATGCTCGCCGATTGTCAGCCGACAGGGTTTTTACCGAGAAAAATTTCTTTCGTCTGTGGAATTTATACTGCCATTATAATTATTTTTTATTTTTTCCCCTCTTAAAATGAGTGAAATATGTGCAAAATAATCAAACATGCATTTTCGTTAAAAATCGACAAAATATGAAAATATTAAAAGTTATTAATAATTAAGGACTAATATGACGTACCGCCTGCACGCGTATCCTAGTTCGTTATAAATAGAGGCACGAAAAAACAAACGAAAAAACACGCATCAGCTGTACAAGCGTTAAAAAACGTCGTATCATTTATTCACGATATTTAGCAGAGATTCTAAAAAAAAAAAAATCATTATAAATATTTGATTTCGTCATCGCTGTGTAATTATATTATTATACCTACGTTAAGTGTAAGTACACATAACCAAATAAATACGTCTTTTCTACTTCGATAATTAATACGTTTTTTTTTCATATTTTTTTTTAATTTACGTCCAATTATAAATTTAAAAAAAAAAAAGGTAATTTAACTTTAAAATTACAGCGTATTTTTGGTTATTTATTATCATTATTGCATCCATTTTTTTTCTTTTTTTAATGTTATATACGTTTTAATGCTGTATTTCGACCTACGCGATTTCGTTTCGAATAATATTTGACTTTTAAATTAACGTTTTTGTAATGGTGGGTTTTTTTTTTTTTAATTTGTTTATAAAACACACCGAACAAACACACGAGAAATCATATTACTACATTTTGAATTTTAATAAAATGTTATTTACATTATTATTACTATACGACGGTAACAGCGAAAACGTATAATGCTGCATGCAGTGTATAGAGACGCGTAATTGCCGATATTGGTAAATATTTGCGTTAAAAGTATAACGTTATTATTAATATGTATTTTCGTTTGCATTTGATATTGTTGATAGTTTATTTTTAAAAATAATTTAATTTAATATTATATTCGTACATAAAATATTATGAATAGTATACCTTCTCGTATTAATTATATTTATCGATATCGAACAACAACGATAAAAAAAAAAAAAAAAAAAAAAAAATAAAATTCCAAAAGGTAAAAAATATTACGCAGAGTAATTTAATTTGCTTATAATTGCTTACTTATACTTCTATACTACCGTATAACGTTCAATTTTTATTTTATTTTTTATTTATTTATTTACAATTCGGTACAACGTACGACGCAAATAATAACTATGTAAATTAAATTCGAAAATTTTGAATTGTCACCGCGCTTGAAACGGGCTAGGATACGTATTTTGCGTGGATTTCAAGTCTCTACGATTATTTTTAAACGAATCACAAAAGAAAAAAACTGAATCGAAACGTGTTTTGTCCGCATTTATTAAGATAACTATGGGGAAGTGGAAGAAATAAAAAAACGACGACCTCGTTGATGCTTCTGCCAAACTAAATTTGCTCTTAAAAAATGTGCAAAACAGTCGATGACCGGTACAAGATTTCCAGTATAAAAGTCAATCGCAGACGGTAAAGAAATGCATTCGTCATAGTACTTAGTTGAACCAATACGTTCTGAAACATAACCAAATATAACAAACCATTAAAGTTTGTGTGTAGAAATAATAAATTAAATTCTCCGGCGAGCCATCGAGTTTTGAAGCACAGTTTTTATTTTATTTTTTGGAAATAAAATAACTGCGTATCCGAAAACTTTGTGGCGAGGGTTGTACAAAAGAAAAAGTAAATACGCCCGTAATACATTTTAAAAGGTAAGTAGAGTTGTAAAAATTGCTTATAAAAAAAAAAAGGAAAGAGCGTCAGTGAAATGTTATATTTGAAACGAAATAGTCGCGCGTCCTCCTTGTTTTGGCCGTACATATATTTTTACACTTAAGTTTTTATTATCCGTGTTTCAGAATGGATATAGAATATGGCGAACGCCGGTTCGACTTATCTCTATGATAAAAAAAAAGTACGAGGGGGGAAATGAAATTGAACGAAATAAAATATAAGAATATACGTACCTTATATATTACATTATTATTATACCGAGTCGTATATGTGTAGCCCGCCATTTCCCCGGGGCGTACGTTCGGTGCCAGCGAAACGGCGAAAACATGTCTGATATGTGATTAATCTTAGGATAATAATAATGCAATTTTCCCCCGGTGGCTTTTTGGATCCGTGACAGATTCTCACCGTGACGTTTCGTCGTCGTGAGCTTAAGGATGACCGTCGCCGTCCGTATAGAACTCGTACGTGCACTCTGTTTAAATTATTTGGAATTGCGAAAACATTATCATTTTGTCATAGGTGCGTTTGTATTGTACAGCACTGGAGCTATTCGAGGATACTCGGACATTTGAAATTCCGAATAAAAATGAATTCAGATATTGCGCATATTAAAAGAAGTATTTAATCCACGAAAATCACGCCGAGATCCAGAGTCTCGAAAAATTCATCTCACGAGTCACAAAGAAAATAAATATTTGAAAAACAGAGATCCGAATATTATAGACATTTCAAATATTACGAATATTACGAGTACGTATATTCAGATTTCGCCATTTCAACTATTCGGATATCGGATATTCCGGCGATCGGAAATTTTTAAAAATCAAAATCAATCCGAATTTATATGAACGACCTTATATGACCCAATAATAATGTGATATTTCAAATGTCCACTTAACAGTATTTTTATTCTATTTTCATTATATCAAAATAATGTTCAAGTAGCTTGTATCGTTTAACGCAAACAGATACCTGATACAATACCGTATCTTTTATACCCGTGCTAGACGTACTACGCGACCCTGTAGCCGGTAAACGCAATCGCAAATAAAGTTTTTCTTATTCTTTTATTTATTTATTTTTTTTTTGTTATTAAGACTTTCTAATGTTCTGTGCTTGATGGCGTAGCTGTTAAACAATAATATTACAATATCTAAATCCGAGAGCTCTCCGATAAGTCTACGCTACCGACCAAGAATATAAATAAAATTGAATGTAAAACGATTTCCTGGGTGTAACCATCTGTATTATAATAAAACCGCGATAATTTCGAAATTCGATTTACCGAAAACCGTTTTTAAAATTTACAATATCATATTATTATTAATATTATTATTTATTTATTGTGATTGACTATGCGTATCGCGTTCTCTGGTCCAAAAGAATTTAGTTATCTGCAGTAGGTATGATTCTTGTATTACAATTTATATAGATAAAATGTTACGTTGTGTTACATGTAATAAATTATGCATTAGACTTGTAGAACTTTTTTTTTAAAAAGCACTGTAAACTGGAATATTTTTAAAAACTAAAAGCACTGTATGTAGGTACGTCTTATCATCGAATATAGATACCAACATAATTTTTAATTTTTGTACATGTCATACATACTCACTCGTCATCACACCTCAAGTTTACAAAAACAGTAATATTATTGTTAAAATTCCATAATTAGCATTTAAAAAAAAGATGAAACTATGTTGATAAGTAAAATAAAAATAAAAAATAGAAATAAACTTTTCGAAACTGCAAAGTTAGGCAATTTCAATGTTTAATTAGGAATAGGTATTTACTGAGAAAGTAAAAATAAAACTCATGGGTCCCCTATCGTGTTTCAATTTCTGGGAACGAAAATCTGATGTTTCGTCAAACGTATCCGTCGCTTCTTAGGCTCTCGCAAATATAAACTATATATGACTTGGAATCTTTATGATTTTTTCGGTTTCGGTTTTTAAAATTACAGAATTAAAGTTTGGGTTCTGGCATCCATAAATTTATCAGAGGGGTAAATTTTTCTTCAAAAAGTAAAAAAAAAAATCAAGTATAAAAATCAAGTAAATCAAGTAAACATCATAATATTATATACAATATATTATTTAAAATGATAAAATCAAATTAAAGCTGGGTTAATGGGTGGAGTAAGTAAGTTTACTATTTTGTTTTAAGAACATCCAAAACAAATATTAAAAAACAGGGTTGACTCGCGTTGTAAAGAGTCAGTGATAGTCAGCGGTAGTGTTATTCGAATGTTTTTAATGATTATTCGAACATTAATTTATAGTAAAAATTAATCGTTATCGCCAATTACGAATATTTTATTTTTATAAGAAACTGTTTAGAAATGATTATGAATACGGTAAAAAAAACACACCGTAACATACACTTCTGTGGCTTAGTTCAGACATTCAACGGTAACGTATTACAAATTACTCGGAATTTTTCTCTTTTCTAGACAAATTCAAATGGAAGGCTGGTCAAAGAAAAAACAAATTGTCATACATATTTGATAATAATTGCCCAATCCGATGGGAGATAGGATATCTGACCTCTTATTACCTATTCCCCTGCGCACGCCACTGACCATCCTACGGTTGTATTATTGATTTCTGTATTCTTGGCGTTTATAAAAAAAAAAAAAATTATCATTCACAAACTCGGCGTGTATAATCAGTAATTTATTTTCAAAAAAAAAAATAATAATAATAATACGTCCGGGGGACAGTAATTTCATAAGAATTATAATATTATAAAGTACTTAGTGAAACATTATTAAATTACGTAGGTAACAGGGTACCGGCTTATTCATTATATTATTATGTAATTTCATTAGAGAGTCGTATTCTTTCAAATAATATAATATAGTTCGTTATTAAATTAATACATTGTTTTTTTTTTTTTTTACAAATTGTATAGTTCTTGTTCCAGAATAATAAAACAACGACCAAAAACATTTAAGCCGATTGAATAATAATACATAGGTATCTGTACTATAAAATATTATAATGTTATACATATAGTAAAAGAAGACATTTGTTACTATAATATTATGAACAATTACAAAGTATTCTGATAATATTAAATTACGGAATTCGATTGTTTCAAACATTTTAACGGCTATTATTTTTTTTTTTTTGTATTATTATTATCATTATTATTTTATTTTGAACCTAACACCTTTGCGGAATTACTTCAACTGTATAGAGACCACCTTTTTTTTTTTTTTTTCATGCGAGATAAAGCGCCGAACTTTAGGTTTGAAAAGAATAATTTAACTCGATTCCGAACGTTGAAATGAAAAGAGAAATTAATTTTAATACCCCAGTTTTAATAGTATTTAAAAAACGTTGTACCGAAAGTTCGGACAATATTATTGTTGTATTAATATGGCCGAGCGTAAAAAATTAAAATACACAAAGCACACAACGGTGAAAAAATAAAAACGTGTCCCGGTAAATGTTTTCCTAATCATAATGGGTTGCAAGTATACATATTATTTAAGGTTTTAATACTGCCGTGGGTCTAAGTCTATTTTTTTATTGTTATATCTACACGATGACATTAATATTAATGTACAAATTAAAAAAACAAAAATAAAACAACAATAAAATAATTTATGTGATCATATTTTTCAAATAGTTTTTATAATATTTAATTTCGTCTAGATTGATTATTTAAATACGTTTATTTTTATCTCTTATCTTATCCAGATAAATGAGATATATTATATTCGGTAAAATTGTGAAAATCAACCCTCATAATTTAACTTTTCCCCAGTAAAATTTTATAAGAGAAATAAAAGGAGATATCCCTTTGTTAAAAATCGGGGGAGGAAGTTAAAAATTTCACTAGAGATATTTTATTCCTCTGGAAAAATGTCACAGGAGTCCATAATCACTACGGGAATACCGGGATAATTCAAGGAAAGGAAATCTGACTTAAGTGATACTTTAGGGATATCATTTTTTGATTTTCCCAAGAATTCTCCCAATAAATGAGAAAACACGGAAAAATATAGGATAACCCCGGAAAAAAACGTGAGGAAAATGAGAAAATAGGTATAATATTAAACAAATATTAGAGAAAATATATAATGTACATGTAATTATTTTATTATAATATGACTGATATCCATACTAATATTTTGAAATTTATATTTATACAAAACTGTAAAATAATAAAATATTAATAATAAAAATTACGACGTGCTACTTTTGAAATGTGATCATCCTAAGTGCAGAGAAAATCATTCACCTAACCTTGTCCGTGTGTCACGTTTTGTATTATGGTACCTCTCTTTTTAAACAATTTTCGGGGTTGTTTTTTATTACTTTATGACCCTGCAAAGCTAAAAGTCATTTTTTTTTTTTGAGATAAAAACACCGTGGTTGTCGTCATTTCTATCCGCACACCACAACGCGTTTTGGCAATGGTTCAAAATAAAAACCGTATGTCACAAAAAAACGCAATTAATTTCTACAGAAATAATAAGACGGGCATGAAATGTCGTTTATTATGTATATTTTTTTTCATTTTTTGAAATAGTTTCATTTTTACTATACAGTATACATCTACATGGCTATATTCTTTACCTAACCATATAATACGTATCCGTTTGGCAGTGATCGTGAAAAATTGACTCGTTCCGACGCGGTGTTGTTTTTAAATTTGAAATACGCTCGTGCTCGTGATGATTTGGTTTATTTTGTTTTTCTTCGGTTGAAGTTTTCTAAAAATTACGGTTTTTATTTCGTGAGATTTGACTTTATAGAAAGCGTAAAAGTAGTATATAAGCAGATACTTAATCTATAACAAGAAATTTCGATATTTTAGGGCTCAGCACAATAACAAGTCCAAAGTTACTTTTTGACAGTTTAGAGTAGCATTTCTCGACTTTCTTCGTTCATGTACTCATTGACTATACTATACTTATTAAAAAGTACAATTGAATCCGGGACCTAATTCGGATACAGCCATTTTTGGCTGTCCCGGGAACCAGAAGCGCCAGATTTTGTAAACGTCATGGAGGACTCACTATTTTAAAAAAAAACATGTAAAATTTTACATAAATCTTACCGTATATTTCCTGTTTTTATTTTCCTTAAATTGTTCGTTATACAAATACAAAAATATAGTTATTCGTCGTTTCGTATACTATCTATAATATTTGAATAGTATTAGCATTATGAAAAATCACAAAAATGCCAGGCACCAAACTCCGTTTAATCAAGAATCCGGTTGATTATCAAAATCAACACTTTTTCTCTGCTATCCGTTTTAAAAGAAAAGTTTATCTTTCCCAAATAATTTTTTATAAGTATAATTAGTGTTTTGAGGATGTACATGAATCACGTTGATTTTTTTTTTATAATACGAAAACCGTGGGCGGATGAGTTCCGTCTTATCAAGATCTTGGAGCACCGGAGCACTGCAGTCCCAAAGCTCCCCAAAGCTGTACAAGACTCCCTGCCAGGAATCGTATTTTCCTCGAACGTTCGCGTATCCGACCGCCAAATGAAAATGAAAATAACGGGCGGCCAATAATAATTATCGCGAACGTGTATAATGGCGTTCGTATGCTGTGGCCGACACGAAATCGCGGACACTGCATACAAAACGCGAAATACACCGCGTATTATAATAGTGAAGCATTAGCGAAATGAAACGCAGTCTCGTCTGTGCCGTTTACGCCGGTTGCGCAGCCCTCCGGAATCCTCTTTTGGCCCGTCAGTCAACGCGGCACCGCAGAAAAACGAGCGAGAGTACAAGTCCGCCCCGCGACGTGCCCGCACCGTACACGCATAATGCGATTAAATAATATATTATATTATAACAGTCGAGGATATATTATATTACGTACCTTTCTGCGGACGTCTCCCGCGAAACGTATTCGACCGATTAATAAATGCGTTTCCCGTAGTTCTTCAGGGAAAAAAAATAAAAAAAGTAATACCCGCCCGCGAGCGCGGAGAAATGCGAGTGTAGGTCCGTATTGTGGATAGAAGCGCGTTACACATCACAGTAAATAGACGCGCTGTAAATAGCATAATAATATACAGTATGCAGTAGTGCGCGTGAATCGTATACGAATCACAAGTATGGTGGAATCTCGGCGGTGCTCGAGTCTATGTTAAGTTTCGTTATCTGTACACAGGCTAACGAGTAAAGGCCGGACTTTGTTGCATTAAACGATTTTCGTATAATGCAATTATACGCTATAAAATGTGAAAATATGCATGATAATACGCATACAAATTTCGAAAAATGTATGTATAAAAACCAATTTGAGTTTAATGCTTTAGTTTATTTTTTTTTTTTTTTTCCATAAGCGTTTTAAAATCAAATTTTCACGAAAACCGTGAAAATTACGATATTTCAAAATATTTCGTACGAAAATCTTGCGGTGCCGTCGTCTTTTATGCGCGTCATAAAAGCCAATAATTATGATTCGTAAGTATATAGAAAAATTATACTACTCTTATTGTATGATATACTTTATTGATATGCGGATTAAATGGCACAATTTTTTTACATAATGTATACTACGAAAAAATGTGTGAATTCGTTAGAAATTACAGAAACGTATAACACTCTATTGGAAGTACAACATCGAGATTGTACATAAGTCATAATCGTAATTAAAGAGATATCCATGGTCACGATAATATAATACAATATATTATATACCTATATATTGGAAACGTTCTTTGCTTTTGGAAATATATTTCAAGGAAACTCCTTTTCGCAGCGCTGTCCTTCTATCGAACAAAAATGTGCGTACCTACTTAAATAGTGATATTAAAATATTATACTTTTCTTTTGGGGGGGGGGGGAATATCGAAGGGATCGGTACAATAATAAGGCAAGTCCGAAAGTTGGAAGTTTCGAGTAAAACAATAAATTATACGTAATTTGGTGCAGCAACAATGCAAATAAAGATTTGTTTGGTTCAACCATATTCAGGACAAAAAAGAAGACCGGCCTCAAACAAACCTCGTGATTTTTTTTAAAAAATTTCATTAAAGCCTCTCCATTTTCTCCTTTCAAATTGGAAATTTCGTCTGCGGAAAAAGCGACTACTACAATATATTAATTACCACACGTTAAAAACACGAATAAAAGATATTTGGATCGGATATATTGTAGTTAATCACCCGGCAATTGCAGTATTCACATTTCACACCACCACGCGATCGAAGGATCATTATTGTACCAGATATAAATTAACCCGGATAAAAAATCTAAAAACAAAATAAAACCCTTTCTGGTTTTGTATCTATTTTTCAAACCGCGTATAAAAGCGCGATAGGTGTATTGTTATTATATAAAAAAAAAAAATACGAACAAAAAAATCCGTATAAACCGATTTGGGTTTAACAAAAAAAAATGTTCGAAAATTAGCATAGGTTCATGTGGTCGTATTATACGACACATATAAATCCGATAGCAAACTAAACGCGAAATTCCTCGAAAATGGCGGAGTGGCCTCTAATAATATTTTCCCATCCGATTTCGAAAATATGCTGTAAATTATAGCAATCCTCAAATTAAAAAAAAATATTCTATTATTACCATAAAAAAACTGAGCATTAATAAATTAACCGTTAAGTTACATAATTTCTGCAGGAAAATGATAACTTGATTGAATTAAAAGTACTTTTTATATATTATAACCCTTTACTATATACACTCTTAAAATATGTATTCTATACTTGTTTATTTAGACTTGTACATATTTAAAACTATTGCGTAGGCCACAAAAATGTCCCAAAAATAAATGCGAAAAACATAGGTACACATAAAAAAAAACCCCAAGTTAACTTTTAAGAAACAACTGAAATCTGTACAAAAAAAAAAAAATGTATTTATTTAAAACAATTTACTAAAAGAAATAGCAAGTTATTTTCAAACGTCCAGTTTAATTTGTAGTAAGTTTTATTTTATAAGTTACATGCTATAAAAAAAGTAACTTATATAAGTTGACTTTTTATCAAGTTATATATTGCTCGGAATTGTTATTATGTGTGCGATGTGCGTACACTACAAGTTTTTTTTTTTTTTAAAACCACATACCTAGGTACTTGGATTTAATAATGTCGGTCCTGGTTTGACATTTATTTCGTAGTTCCGAATGTTCCACAAAGTACAAAGTAAAATCCGTATACACATAGACATAGAATTCTATAGACGTTTTCTACCCTTTTATTTATAAGCCCTGTCGTCCTCCGACCGTTATAAGTTCTATAAAATCATATTGTATAACGTAAAAAACAATCGAATACATTTTTCTTCTCTAAAACATGTACGCACACCGTGGAAATTCGGCTATATAAAAAAAAAAAAAACTGTCGCAATTCGTAATATTATATTAATAAAAGTTTCTACACAATTTTTCGGGAATTCATCTTTTTTCGATAAGTAAATCTAGGCCTATTGCGGTGGTATTTCAGCCCCTTTTGGGAATTGGTATACGTATATTATATTATTTAATGTAAATATTTCTTATCTCTATCAGCCAGCTCATTTTTTAATGCATACCGACAACAATATCGTTTTACCAGTATTTTTTCGTTTTCTTTAATTTCATTCATTGTTTTTTTTTTTTTTTTTTATATATATATAGCATATACTTACATATTTCTTTTCACTATGCATTTTCATCTGGTAACGGATGTTTATGTATTTATATAAATAAAAAAAAATTACAAAACTGTTTTTTTTCAACTTGTATAATAATGGTACCTATGTCAAAATTCTATTATAAATCTCGAGAACATAGTACAAATAGTCGGTAAAATATAATAAAATAATTTAACGTCATTTTAAAATTATCCAATTTTTATTTGAGTACGGAAATGTCTACAGGAATGTTCTTAGCCGAAAATTTACCGACATAGGTACACACAAATTTTTATTGGAAAAGTAAACATTTATGAATTCTGTAATTGAGAAAAAATATGCTTTACACTTTCTTTTATTTTTGTTTTTGAAGGAAAATTAAAAACAGCGGTGGATAAACGTAGATATCTCATTTTTCATGGAAAACGTCTACGGCCATTATTTTTTACCGCCGCGATAGCAAAACACCTATTTAATTTTTTTTCATCATTATTATTCTAGTAGTACCATTTTAGCAGTAAACGCAGTATTTATTTATTTCGCCGTCGTAATAACTATAAAGGATAAAAACTTATTTGACACGTTTACAGCCGAACCCGCTCCCGTCCCGTTACTATCTTACCTTTATTGTATAATATCTTCCGTTCTGTAGTTTTCGCGGGAGTTTTAATTGCACTTTCGCTCGCGTATCTATACTTAAGTCTCAAAAAAAAAAAAGATTACAATAAAACATTTTGAGTTGTTGAACAACACTTTATTTATAATCGATATCACAACGACGTCTTAAATTATATAAATAGGTGGTACGTACTGCGCGATAACACGTTTTTATAGGTAATGTTTTAGAACCAAATTGCCGCAGTAGTTGCTTTGGTTTATGACTAGCCTAAAAAGCAGGCGAATATTCGGAAAATACGAAAAATGATTTCTGAAACGGTATAATATACGAGTTTTCGGGTTGGAAAAAAAGTTTTGATAATATTTTGTCTAAAATAATATTAAGCTAACCAATTCTTCGATATTCTCCATTGCTTCTTATTCTCAATTGATTGGGGCCGACCAAAACGCGCGTCCAAAATAGGACAAACCGCTTGAGCCTTGTTCGCGACTCCTCATGATGTTTGAAAAAAAATGTCAAATTTCAATTTTTTCAAAAAACGGTTGTGTATGCCTGAATATTTTTATGAAGTGAACGTACTTTGCAGATTAATGTTTTTATTATTTTCGGTCTGCAAACATATAATGATACATCAAAATATTCCGAAAAAACATTAATAATATTACTAAAACAATCGACCAAAAGTATTAAAAAAAAAACCACAACATTGGCTTGGCAGATTGTTTTTCGAGGTCTGTACCTAAATCAGAATTGGGAGACGGGTCGTGACTCGTCGGTACTTGTACTGATTTGTTAAAAAAAGTCGGATAAATTTCATACAGAGAGTAAGCCATTGTTGCTGACGGGTAAATCGGAAAGTATGATTTACAGGGCGATTTCGTTGTTGATGAAAGACGATCCCGAACGAAGTAGTATATTTGTGTTTTCCCCTGGTTGTCAGAAATGAACTGAAATCAAAAAAAAGCACCAAATAGCATTCTGCTGCAAAAAGTTTTCTAGACATTGCAATATTGTATTATTCGACGTGCCCGCACCAAAAATTGTAATATTGTTACCAACCGTTATAATGCGGTTAGCGAATCGGCAGACCGTACAAAATCGTTGGTGCATAAATTATAATAGTAATTAACAAAGTAACTACCTACCAATAATATTAAACTGTAGTATATTGTATAATATTATTAACTCGCTGGTTAGTTGGTCATAAATATGACGTAGGCCACATAGAAAATTAGTCTTTTTGCAAAAAGACTAGGCTCGTTGCAATGGGGTAGTCCGTTCGCGAACAAATTATTTTTACAAACGGCCTATTTTTTTTTCAGAATTATTGCGTACAGACTAACAGGACTTTTATTAACTACAATCATTATATAACAATAACTGTTTTACTTATTAAGCAGATCGTGGACCATTAGACACTCAAAATATAATTAACAAAGTTGTAGACAAAAAAAAAAATGTAACACGAAAAAGCCACGGGTAACAATAAGTAAATATTTTACTAATCTAAACTTCACTGATACTCACCGTTGATAAAGTTCATACCATTAAAATAAAATAAGTAAAATGGTTATTACTATACAATTATAAGAGCCTAACTGCTGTTAATCTGTGTGCAATAAGTATTTTCGCAAAAAGATTAATTTTCCATATGGCTTACGACATACATATACAAACATATATTTCGGTTAGATTTGTTTACTGGTAATTTGATGGTATGTACGCCGCCGTCGCCCAATGAACTGCCTGCAGTTTTGTAGCAGTGAACCCCCTAAATAACAATATTACCTATATTATATTACGCACATGTCCGGAACATATTATTATTATTAGTATATTATAATAATTATTGGACTTGTATTTATTTTCGGTTCAAAACAGTGACGTAACTAAAAAGAAACTTCGTTGGAAATGGATCGGGGGTAATTTTACAATATTCTCGTATACGTTTAAGGAAAAAATTCGGATTTCCATCAATTATCCAGACGGTTGATTAATCGTATAGATATAATAATTATAACATTATGGTTTATAATGGTTCAGCAAATCGCATTTAATGATTCGGAATTTTATCTAAAAAAAAAAAATATTAATGACAATACCTAAATACTTTCAAACGTTTAAAAATTAGTTGCCAGAGACATCAAGGGCCGGAGAGATGAATTAAAACCTTTAAATCCCCCGGCCCCTGACTATATCTTTTACCGCAGGCTTAAAAACTGTTCGGATTACAAAACCGGAACGTTGACAACATAATAAGTTACGAAAGTTAAAACCTTTTTCAATTTTCCAATTTTATATATGTATGGTTTGTGGTGTTTTACCAAAATATTCGAGAAAAATAAAAAAACTAATAATACTATTTATACAAATAATTTTAATACATTATATATATTTTAGTATAATAAAAAAATTAGAAAAAAAAAAAACCGTCAGATATTCTTTTCAAATATTTTATCTAGGTCCATGATTGAAAATGTTATAGCTGATAAAAACTGCGATTTTTCGAGAAATAAATTCGACCGTTCGATATCAGCTCTATTGGCACTAAAAGATGTAAAAAAAACCTCAAAATATTATGAAAAATCAAATTTCATTTTAGAACTTTTTAGAATAATTAAAATTTGTGTTTGAAATAGCAATTTTTTTTTTGTTAATTTAAAGTACCAAGATAGGTTTAGGTTAGGTTAGGCTAGGTTAGCCCTGTAGCTAGGTACAATATTTGCCATGTCATTTCAATGATTTTTCCCAATAACATTTGAACAAACATTCTGAGCACGATATTATTTCAGTCGTATTTTTCCAGTTGCCGACCAAGTTACCAAAAAATCGACAAAAATTATACAATAAATTTTCATATTTTTCTACTTATTAAAACTACTCTCCGATGACGCATGAATGATAGATCAAAAACTTCCCAAAAAAGTTCCTATTCATTTTTCTTTCGGAGCATGGTATCTAATAGAAAAGTTGTTTTCACAGGCACACAACGTATAGGTAGTAAAATACACATGGTAGATTTGACGAAACCCAATTTGTCTCTGGAGTTTATACGGGTGTATATTATGTATGGCGATAATTCCACGAGAAACCCAGTCGTAAATCTATACATAAATGTATGATATTATATAATACGATGGTATATGCGGTCGAGATAAAAGCGGTCGTGGGCGATTGGAGCGGGTGCGGTTTCGGGGCTAAAGTCGTTTGACGTTGATAACACTCGTGTTATTATGACGCGCGTGCGATATTGTAAACGCGAATTTTCCATCAGCAGCGCGCACGTCAAAAAATTACCTATCGCACCCAACACCATAATAGAATCTACACACACGCTCGTCTTATACTTGTGTTTTGTATTTTTGTGGGCCGACGAATCCGGAACGTTCGAAAAGCGATATTTTTCGAAAAACCATTATCGCGCTCGCGTTAGGCATACATACCTACTAATAACAAATAACAACATACTCGATGCTTTTCCCGTCGTATATATATATATTTATTGTACAGGGCCGGATAACATAACCCTCGCGCCGCCGTCCCGACGGCCTGCACTTTTTCGCGCGTTATGGTTTCCGAAATATATTTTTTTTTTTTCACATTATACTCGCGTTGTTTGTATTTCGAGCCGAATATTCACCGCCGACCACTCGCTTTGAACCCGGCGCTGAAAAAAAAAAAAAACACCTCGAGTGGCAATCGCGATTGATTCGCACGCATCATCGTATAATAATTGTATTATATAGTCACAGTGTAGACTGCCGGCGCGCAGATCAAAGGACGACGAGTGGAGAAATTGACAACTACATGTGTATTGTTACTATGTAATTATCATTGTTGTTATCATATTGACTGCCGTATACGATACGAATAATAAATGTACGGTACAGTGGCGTCGAACAGCTGCAGTAGAATCACTGGCTTCTGTGAGTTTTCCTGAACATATCTGTTTTTGTGGATTCTCTATAAGCTATAAACTCCTTGTTTCGATGTAACCGATGGTTTTAAAATACGTTTTTTAAACCTAATGAATCCAAAAGAAGAACAAATGTACGAGCTCGGAGAGGATTTCTCTCCAGTTTTGATGACTTTATGGTCATGGTAATTATTAATTATACATTTCAAAAAGATTTTATTGGCCTTAACTACGTAAACCGAAAAGTTTCTAACAAACCTCAACTTGGATTTGTTTTTGACCTCGATATTTTCTCAACTTTTTTAAACACTCGGCGCTGTGCAATTTTTTTTGTTGTAATTTATACAGGTATGAGCCATGCGAGTTCTGAGTCATTAACTATTTTCGTAACGTATTGCAAACCAAAAACCGATTGTACCGGTCTACTACAGAATATAAATGAATATTTTTTTCAAAAAGATAATACTCTTGTTTTATATTATTCCCTCAGCTATATACTTATACAGTATGTGCAGGTTTCCACGCAATAACATCGGAAATACGAATGTGGTCTAAAATAGGATTTTAAATGGTTACTTATTATTTCGTGGTCTTTTTATCGCACTCTTGTAGATTGCACTACATATTATTATCGTAACTACAGTTGTTCTACGCTTGATATCCCCTTGCTTTTCGCAACATATGACAAAGTCTTTAAATTAAAGGGAATAAATACATTTTTGCTTGAATCGTTGGCATAGGGAGGGTGGTTTGAAAACTGTATATAAATACGAACAAAATTGCTTATTTAGAATATGAATTCGAATTTTTTCTTTTCCGAAGTATCAGAAATAGTAATCAGAAATAAAATACTTTTACATTAATATTTTACAAGACTGACTACTATATTAGAATATCATAAAACTTACATAAACCGAAATTAATTTGAACCGGCTTAAAAATATATATAATAAATGATTTAATCGGCATGGATTTTTGAACGAATTTAAAAGACAATATTAAAATATAACATTGTTTTTTTTTTTTTATTATTAAGAAAATGCTTCAATATTTTCACTTAATTACTTAAAAAATGCAATATTTCTTCCTGGTGGTTTGAATAACTTGTTGAGTTTTTTTTTATGTATAAATATCCGATTTCTCTTGACAATGGAGGAAAAACACGACTACTCCATACAGATTCATTTTTGGTTCTCAATGATTTATCGTTGCATACAGCATACAGTAAACTAAATTACCTGTAATTCTACCTTCCCAAATAACCATCTACAAAAGTGGCCTATTCGTGAGCAGCAGTATCAAATTGTAATTTTTTTTTTTTTTTTTTTGTAATATTGCAAAAAGTGGTACACGCGAATACGAACGTTTGAGAAGAACCGCTTTAAAATGATACGCATAAACGTGTAATCCAAATAAAAAAAGGTTTTGAAAATTATCTGGTGTCGTGTTATATACTCTCCCTTTCATTGTTAGACCCTCATTATCCGAAAACGGTTTTTAGTATCGTAGATAATTATTATTACTATTTATAACATCCATACACTGCATATAATATATTTATATTTATACATGTAGCAGCTGAAAACCAGCTTAGTAACCCTACGATTGATATAAGAAAAGAAAATAATCTCGTCGATGTTTTTCAATCGGTTAATGAAATACGATGTATATAATAATAAATGTTTAACGTAAAATACATTTTATACTCATGCAGAAATATTTTAGGAAACGAAGGCATCGTTTCACTGATGAAAATTGTCTCTAAATTAACAGCTCTTCAAGCGTCTTATAGATATCAAATCGACTTCCTTCAATCTGTATATATCTCTATTACATTATTATTTTTCCCGATCAATATGTTTTCCGTTTTCCTCGGGTTTTCTTTAATACCGTCTAATCAACGCTTATACAATATCATTGATCTTTTACCAGTTGGTATCCTTTAAATATAACCGTTCTGATTCCGCTTTCATTTTCTCCGATAGGAAATATGTGACCAAACCATTGAATTAATTTTTGATACAGTTCGTTATAAACTGAAACGATACAGTTTTGAAAATCAACGATCATATAAGTATTCTCAGTTCTCTTCAAATCGATGCCGTCCCATCGAAAATAATACACAATAATATTATATTTCATTTGATAAACCGCTTCGATTAAAGCAAATAGGTTTACGGCAATTCATTATTAATAAGATTGTAAAGCCGAAGAGAAATTCCGATACGATATTATAGTGCCGGTTAGATTAGGTTAATAGAAAATTATCGTCGACCAATCGATTGGCAATGAGTTTATTTCCGGCGTGTTTGGTACGGGTTTAACACGCTGGGAGGGACGATATCGCAGACAGATTCGCCAAAAGCAATAATTGCGTTATTTATAACCCTGCAAGTTATAGTAACTGAATTTATATATATACTTGTAGGATCACATCGCGAAATTAACAATCGGGGTTTTAGTTTACTTGACTTTTTAGTTCTCGTCTTCTTACTAACAGTACGCATTCATAATAATATTAAGTGTAGGTGTAAACACAAATGTCAGAAATAAACCCGTTTTGTTTTGTATAAAAAAAAAAATACATTTATTTACTTGACTACATCATAAAAGAAAAAAAGAAATATCCAGTTAAAGTACGTGCATTAAAAAAATATCAGAACAGTTGGTTTTCGTGGTTAATGATTTCTCTTTTTTTCTTTTGTATTTTCACTAAAAAGGTTTTAAAAAAACATTCTGTAACTAAAACAATATTATCCTGAATATGATTATTTTAAGTCACAAAATCTATAGCTCCCGAGATTTATATTATATCTACTTACGAATATTATTATTTTACGTAAAGTCATTTCTGAAATTTTGAATCGTAAAATTTTAAATACCTAATAATACAAATATAAGAAAATATAAAACGTGTCCAAATAAATGAATATCATATTTATGACATGGAATTATGGAATAGCGGATCAAAAATAATATAAATAGAAAATCCGAAATATAGAGGTAAAAGTGCTAAAAAATCATATTACTTTTTACTACAGAAAAATCGTCGTCTTAAAGCTGTATTATTTTTTTTAAAGAACGTAGGTAACAAAAGTTTTAGAAAACAAAAGTCAGCATGTGTTCCTAAAGACAATGCCTTACTGAGACAGCCATGGTCTTCTTTCAAATACCACCCATTGCATTTATTCGTAGGAGTTGACATTCATTTTTTGATTGACGTCGTTGAAGTAGGTCCAGACCTACATTAAGCTCACTTTCCTGAAATTTTACATTCAATTTTTTTCAATTTCAATTCATTTTTCATGAAAACATTATGGTTTATTACATGTCCTGTTAACTCATCTTCCTCTTCATTATGGTGTCCAGTAGGTATGCTTTATCATTAACTTCTTGCGGTGTGTTTGTTCGTACGGTTTTTTCTTTCTAGTCACTTGTCTTAGTCATCTCCGTCCACATCCACATATTTCAATCTTTCTTTTTTGTATTTTCTTAAAGTTTACGACTCACACCCATCTGTCAGTACACTCTACCCAGCAGTCTTTACAAACTTTTTTCTTTGATCTATGTTGAGGTTTTTGTCATCAGTTAGATCAAACTTTTAAAATGCTTGCTCCGCTATCATAATTATTCGTTTTATATCCTTTCTTCTTCTACTGATCTGCTGTCATGCGAGTTTATACTTCCAAGGTAACCTAACTCCTTCACTTTTTAAATATAAGAATTTCCTAATTTAGTATTTACTTCGTCAAAAAAAAAAAAAAAATGATGGCTGTAATTTTAAATATACTATAAGAAACACAATTACAGTATCCGATGAAAAGTAGAGATACACTATTCTTTCTTTCATATTCTTTTTCCAATGCATCACAAATCTTCAAGAGTTTTTGTTGCTCCTATACTTTCATATTTCCCTCCTGTCGATTCACTGTACATCAAATTTGTCGGTGTCTCGTTTCACCTTGTCATCTCTTTGTTTTTCGTCATTTGTCTCTTCCCAGTTAGTATTCATTTAACATTTTTAACATTTCACATTTTAAAAGTTCGTTTATTTCGGCTCACGTCCAAACCATTATATTCGCTGTCTTCGAAAACTGTGGTAACACCTCCAGGGAAATATAGTTAGGAATTAGTCGTGGGATTTAAAATAAAAAACAGAATATTAAGTTCGTAATATTACGAGTATAACTTTATATTAAAATTTTAATAGTAAAATATTATACTAGAAATACCATATTCGCGTAAAATCTCGCGTTTCGAAAATGAATTGAATACACATACTATAGGTATTATTTATAATTACATATTATCATCAACGTCAGTTAATAATGATTTTATTTCCGATCGTTGTTTCAGCAATTCTTGTCATTATAATATGTTTTTTTTTTATTTTTATTAATGTTCACTTTCTTTTCGTCTACAGATCCGCCGTCTTCTGATTCGGTTATACGACGTCGACGTGTTGTACGACGACACCATATAAAATCTATAATACATTATTATATAGCGTACTACACTGTCTACGGAATATAAAAACGGCGTATTTACATTTAAAACGGTTCCTAAATCCCCTCGTCGCCGTCTTACGTCGTAGTAATGGATTCCACCGAACTATATAATAATAATACTCGTATATTTATATTTTATACCGAGCGAAGGATATGTTTTACGGAACGATGTCAAATCAAATGAATATAATATACGTGCATATATAAACATAGGCATAGAAAAGCCCGATAAAAATACCTATGTATATGTACATATTTATAACGTATGAAAACATGTCAAACGAATACATATATTATATTAGATACTTTAATACCTATGCCTTTTACGAAAATAGTCGCGGAAAAATACGACCCCCAGGATCAATATAATATAAAAATAATAATAATATTGTCATTCGTTTTGTTTATTTGTTTTTATTTTTTTATAAAATCACTTTTTTACTGATGCACACACTATTACGTTTAACAATCGCGGAACACCTCGGCACAGGACATGACCGATTTTTTCTTTTTGAAACACCGCGTTTTGAATCAATTCAACTTTACTCTGGAAATACATCTATAAGTCTAATAACGTGATAACAATATTATTATTGTCTTGTTATTCAATTATTTTAAATCTTTTTGGTAAATAAATAAGTTAAACTAAATATATGTATACACAATAAATGCTGTTACATATTTTGATGTTGCAAAGATTTGGCCAGTCAGCGGCGTTATTTGAGGGATTTAGACTACAATTCAGCTGCCATATTTTTTGTTAATGTATTTTGGCCCACATAAAATGTTATATAATTACTTAGTCACGTGTCGTCAATGAAATGCAAAATGCAATCACTGCCGATGGCCGCTTTACAGGAGTCCGGTAGTTAGAGATATGGGAATGAGACATGAGCGATTATAACTACGGTCAATCGTTACCATTACCTACAATCAAACATAGTACAATTGTAGTAATTAAATTGTCAACAAATTTACAGTGTTAGACGGTTTCTTAATTTTTTCAACAGGAATATATCTCGATAGTATTTGAATATTTAAATGCAAAGTAGAAATATGTGCGTGCGAAGCGATCGAAAATTTGTTTTCATTTCAGCAAAACAAACAAGATTTATAAACGGTGGAGAAAAAAGTTTATCCGATTAAAATGTTTGTATCCATATTAAAAAACTGAAATGACGCCCTTGTGGCAAAAAACCGACGAAAATACACGTCTTCTCGTGCTGGGAACGAAACACGAGAACAGTGAATAAAAAAATTATATTAGAAATCGAATATATTTGAAGCAAAAGTATAAAAGATTGAAATAAACAGCGTACGTCTGGAGAAGCTATACAGGAAAAAAAACACCTCAGCATATTGAGCCGAGACGACTTAGTCAAGACGGCATTTATAAAAAAAACTATAAGAGTAGAACTAAATTGAAAAGTACGAGTAAAAGATAGAGATGATGGCTGGAGTCCCGTGGACGTACATAGAGGCAAATAATTAAATAATTATATTAAATAAAATATACCTACACGTACTCCTGTAATTTTAATAATTTAACCAAGCCAAATTGTTACACACAAATCTTGACTAAACACGCTCGAATCCCTCGGCAAGTCAAACATTTTCCACTCTGGAACAGATTCCACAATAATAATGATAACAATTTGTTTGTACTTTGTTATTATAACCGCACTGTTGTAACTAACCCAATGTTGTAATGTTAATTGTATTCGTGAATAACTCGAAAACCAAATTTTAAAGCCGCCTCGTATATTTCGCGTGGTACAAAATACCGGAATTCTGTGGCGTTTGTATACGTAGCTTTAACAGAATTCCGTCCACGATAAAACAATCTCCGCGAAACCGTGATCGACGACGCGGTGCCTCCGAGTAATTTATTTGGTGTTGCTGTGCGTTTCGTGATTATATGTATATTAGAGTAATTTCGTCGGACAGTTTAATAATTATTATTATAGCCGACCCGGGAGGGCGTTATCAACGTACAAAATCATCGCATAAAAAACAATTTTTAAAAAATATGGATCACCACCGCGTTTTATTATGTCGTCCCTACAATAATAATAATGTTTGCAAACACTCGTTTAAAAAACCCACCACGGATTCACGAGACTCGTGGCTGAAAAAAAATGTCGACAATAATAGTAATATTTTACAACAGAAATTATACAAATATATAATATCATCACTTTATACACATAATACTATATACATCACTCATAGTGATATATCATCGAAACTCTGATAACGACTATAAAATTATTATCGCATAGTCTGTTCAAAATGATCTTCAAATCGAAATACGATTATTAAAAAAAAAAATTACCTGTATAACGACTACTATTCTTATTATTATTATTCTCTGGTTTTAAGGCCTTTAAGAACCATCCTATCTCACACCCTCCATCTTTTCGTAACCTTTGATTTTTCTTATTCCACTTCGAACCTTTACCGAAGAATTTTTCGCCAAATGGCGTGATCAAGAGGAGAAAACTATACCTCGGGGTGGTATGATCTACCCAAAAGGGAGGGGGGGAATTAGCTTAAAAATACAACTATGAATAGGTAATATTTTTTTAGTGGTTTAATCATAAAATGTATACGTTACAACCGAGTTACAAAGAAAAATTTAATTTATTGAATATAAGTCGGCTTTTTTGGATCCAGCTATTAAATTTCTACAACTAAATTGGAGAGAGAAAAAGATTTATTGCTATTAGTGGTTATTTTTTGCTGCATCTAATTTTCTGGGTGAAATATGTTTTAAAAACCCCTGCATTCTTCTTCTTTTTGTACTTTTTACTGTCTATATTACAGGTTGACCCGTATATTACAATAAATATAAAAACATAAAAAATGAAATAGCATGATTTCAAAATAATATCCTTCTTGATTTTTAATATTTCGATTTGTTTTACAATAAAACTTATTTTTAATGTGTTATCAAAACATATATCTAACTGCATGATATTACTCCCCCAATGCTGCAGGCAGTTTCGAAACAATAATGTTATACCCGTATCAATAGTATCAAAACAATATTGAATTCATGGAAGTAAAGTTGGACGGTCAGAACTTGAAACATTTTGACATATTTGATATTAAAACGGACCCTGAAACTCGCACAAACAATCAAACTCTTATATTTAATGACCTACCTACCCGTTTTGTACGTCATACTCGTATAAAAGTGTCTGGGAAATTAAACCGAATTGTCTACGACAGAATATTGTATTTGCATTACCCATTTGTTTATGGAAACTTTGTGCGATTATTATAATACTCGCTGAAAGTAATTTTGTCAAAAATGTCCGAAACACGGAAATCCTTCGGTTGATGAAACTACATAAAAAAAAAAAATATTTCTCCTCCATGATTCACTCATTTCGATAATATTTTGTTCGTTTTTAATAGAAATATATTTAGTAAACATTCGTGGATTTTTACTTCTCCATTTTTACCTGTTTATTTATATCTGTTCATCTACATTCTCCACTCGAATCATTCCAAGGTCTTCCTTTACTCTATTCAACCAAAGTTTTTTTAGGTTCATCAACTGGGTTGTATTTAGTCCGATTTCCATTTTGTTATGTTCCCCAGTCTCTACTCGAATCGGGATATTTTATTGTGATCCATCTTTTTTTATTACTCTTTATAGCTCATAAATTACCTGACAAATCTGATTAAGCACCAATCATATTATATGACGGATTATAAATAAAACGTTCTAAAAATATCAAGTAATGCCCTTTACATACTATTTGTCGAAAAACCTAGACGAATTTTTTTTTGAATGATCAATCGTGTTTAAAACACGACGGAAGTTTTTCGAAATTATTATTCATGATATTCTATTCATTTCGAATATTCCATTTCGCTTTGATGCAAACGTCTTCGGTCAGTAGAGTACCCAGGATTTTGAATTAAGAGGTGGGGGTTAAATACGTTTTTACTTGATTCGTGGGCATAGGTAAAGGGGATTTGTGGAGCTCGATTTGCCCCACCCATAAAAAAATAATCAATTTAATACCTTAAATAAAAATTGATAAAATAACTTAAAAATGAAATGAGAATATTTTTCGTAACAGTACTTAGTAATAGGTTACAATCCTCTGACAATTGTATATTCCAAGGAGAAATTTGAGCGAAAGCAGTAAAATTATATAATTTTCATAACGTCTTATTTTTTTTTATTTTTTTTAGCCATGAAAAATCGTTTAAACCGTTATATGTTTTTTTCCATATACCTTTCAGTGTGGAAAACGTTCTTTCAGAATTGGAAAATAAATAGGAAACGTAATTAACAATCAAATCGAAAGCAGTACTTACATAAATAAATACAGCCCATGCGAGGCAATATATCCCCCTTAAGCCCCATTTAGTTACCTCACTGATCTCGGTATAGTAATTATAATACCGTACGAAAATAATTACTAGGTACGCGCAAGTGGGTACACCGGTCGGTTTTTAATCTTCATTAGTCCGACCAGCCGTTTTGAATCGATCGAATTATTTTACAGTACAAGAGTCGGCATTTTTGGCGTTTTTATTTTTATTACTATTTTATTCTGACGGATTAATACTACTCACGTATAATGTCGACGATAATCACTGTAACGAAAAATATAACAACGCATACGTCAACATAGTAACGCGTTCATGCCGAAATTATTAACCATCGTTATCATATAAATATTATTGTAAGTAATGCAGCAGCATAGTGTTATCCCGTTTAATGTAAACATCAATGCAAACGAACTTTCAATTTCAATATTTTGACATCATAATATTTTTATAGATTATAACGTTTTCCATCTGACTAGGTACACTCGTGTACATTATACGCTGCCTATGATATCATCACACTCCACCAATACAATTTTGTGTAATATGAAGTGGCCCATAATAATAACATTTATCTTACTATCGAAATATTATATCGTTATAATTTGTTAACAGTTATCAAATTAAAATATTGATTGTTCTCAAAATACTTTACAAACGTAATCTAGGTGCACTGTAACACTGTCAAAATCGACGGTATCGTTTTTTTTTTCGCACACGCGTAAGTAAATAATTAATTTATATGAAATACCACACTATACCGTCATGTAGAATTTGCGCTATCTACTGCATTGATGAAGACGGGTAGTAGTGAGCAAAAAGTGTTTACTATTGTACACGTGTGCAACAGTGCAGCTTACCTTTATACGGTACCGACAAGCTGTATGGTGTATAAAACCATATTTTCCAGGGACACTATGTATCTTTTCTTTTTAATACGAAGTGTAACGTTTCATCAGAATCGAAGCATATAAATATAATATGTAAATCGATACGGTTTTTTGATGACGAGAATCGGATTACTACGATTATTCAATTGCGTTATTATACAGTTACGAATTGTGTTTTATTTTGTCCCTTTGCGCACAAATATTGGTCAGCAGTTGCAAGTATCGTGTTACTATAAAAAAAAAAAAAAAAAGACACACTCGGATCATAATTATTTCCCGTCGTTGTTGTTCTTAATTTACATTATACTATCAGCAATTTCAACAGAAAGTGATGGAACGTGTACAATTTCCACATACAATTCGAAAGTCGTTCTGCTAAAAATTACCATTTAGTTACAATAATAAACGTTCAAAGTGTATGCCAAATTTTAACGGTTATGAATGTGTGTTTACATGTCTGTTTTTTTTTTTTTAAAGTAGTTTTTATTGGCGGTCTGTCATAAACACTTTCCCTGTCTTAAACGCCCAAAAGTACAGAAAAACGTGACAAAATACTGATGAAGTTTTAGTATTAAATTTAAATTTTTATATGGAGGTACTTTCGCTTGAATTTCGAACAGTTATATTATTATTTTTAAAACTAGGTAAAGCATCGACGATCCTATTTTTTCTTCATGAGTATATCTATAAATCCTAAAAATTGTGTAAGGCTGGTACAGCCAATGTTTAGTTCTACCCAAAATGTGCAATTTTACATGAAATACATTGTATAGTTCTTAAAAATGAATTGAAATAGCCAATATAAAATTAACGATATTATAGTATCGTTATAAAAAAAAAACAATTTCGATCTTTCTTATGTTATCAAGTTGATGAGAAGGAGATCCAGTGTTTTGAAAAAACCACTTCTCTCTCTCGCGGAAATGTGCGAAATGCCGAAAAATGGCACTATTGAATTGATTAAAAAAAATATTTATAATGTCTCCCTTCACCTACATTTTTTTCAACTACGGTCTCGAAACGGGAGCGTGCAATTTACTAAAGTGTTTATAGCGCATTGGCCTCTGATTTTTGGATCAAATAATACGTCGTCTTCGACAGATAAATTTATTGGACCCTCGAATAAAAACATCATCATCGCCGTCATTGAAAATAAATAGGGTGGCGAATAATACACCGCCACGATGGTATTTTATTATTAACACCGCGCAAAAGTCAAACCCAATAAAGTGGAAAACTACGTTAATACGTAATAATAATGGGGTTTTATATTTCGCCGTTAAACCCTAATAAAAACAGCAGTGTTAACGCGCGTTGTTGATTCGAGATTTTATTTGTAGAGATATTTACGAAAACAGACGCTCTTATTGCAAAACCAGTCGAGTGACAATAACTAATATTAAATATATAGATAGGTAAGTACCTAACGGAGATTTTCCTCTCGCTCGAGAGTCTGTTAAAATCGTATTGGTCTGGTCGCAAAAAGCAGTTTTTTAATATGTACTATACGCCTATCTGACTTTGGTACAATAACTTGTGTAATTCATCATCATAATGTACACTGAGTGTTCTATGTGATCGTGGAATTTGTATTTTTCGGAGGTAACCCCTCTCGTTCTATAAGGCTGGGGAGAGGGGTATCCAGTGATGTCGTGCTCACGGATATGCAATACTCTATTATAACATCAAAAAATCGACTATTTTGTATCATAATATAACCGAAGCAAAACGACAAACAATATAGATAATACATTTAGTTATACCGTGATATCATAATATAAGCTAAATACTTATTATTATTACAAAACTGTTATCACCGGCGACGAATATTCAGCCGGAACACCGCCTTTACTCTGTACATAATATTATAGGTATTGTGTGTTCTATGTGAAATATCACGGATCGTTAACAGTGTGAAAACCGTTCGGCGGTCCTCGAGATTAACGCAACCAAGTACGGCTACACGTATCGATTGCCCTCTATCGATAAAGTGATTAACATAAAATTAACAAAGATATTTCAAATATGCATTTTCCTTAATTACGCACGGGCATCAATCAAATTATTAAAATCAACGTGGAAGGTATATATACCTAATCTTCGGGGGATTTACAACGGACGAATAATTATTCGCGAAAACATCTATTCGCATAGAGCTGTGATAATAATTATTAACGATTGCAATTTACTGAAATTCAATTTAACGAAATGCATAATTTATTCTAATTATTGTTATTATAACTGTAACATAAAGTTTTATGATTATAATTATTGCGTTCGTCGATCAATGGCGGATACTTGTAAATCAAATTTCGATTAGTTTTCGTTTTTGATGAGTAGTATACACCAAACAAGCGCGGGCCGAACGTTATGGCGGTCCGTCTCCAAAGTTATAATAAAATTATTCGTCGTAAATTCGTCCGATAATTTATTATGTTCTCGATAGGAAAAAACCACCAATTATATGATTCAGTACTTCGCGGACCGAACTAAACAAAGGTTTTGTATTCTCGTACTGCATTTTGTATACTGTAGGGATTTCCGAGAAAAAAGTTTTCCCGTTCGACTTCGTCTAACTTTAAGCTTTGTTTTAAGTTGGAATTTATAAGTCCGTCTCTAGCCTTTAGGTCGGTAAAGAAAAAAAAAGGTCAATTTTCGGAAAAATGTTCCACGCCCGTTGTTTTAATATACCTATATACACCACCGTATACTCTTTTGTTCGTATGTCCTTACAAAAAAAGATATCCGTTGTTAAATTTTCGGTTTTTTATTTATTTTCGTGACTTTTGGAAACGACATTTTGACTTTAAAAATAAAATAAAGCATTTAAACGCTCCGACCGACAAGAAAATATATAATTACGTTCTTACTTTTTTTTTTACGAAAATCCGAAATTTCATTTTAAATCTGGGGTACTATTCGAGTCGAATAAAATATAACTCCTTTTCTCGTGTGCGACCCATGGCCCCTGTCATTGAAATATCGCCACTGCAATTTATCATAAGCAGGCCTAGAAAAGCTGTCCTAGGATAATGTCAACGGGTGCAGCCATTGTTATAGGTAATTTTATGTATACCCGCAAACAACGATAAACCATTGCTTACGAAAAACGATTCTGAGCGGAGTTCAGTTGACAGTGATGCTTTGTCAACAATGTATATGTCATATTATAGTAATATAATTAAATAGGCCTTATGTATTTTCTTTAATAATATTTGTTTAATGTACCGATTTTCTCGGTTTTTCTACGTTTCCTGCGTATTTTCCCGTTTTAGAAAAGTTGCTACACTTAAAATCGGAACAAGATTTCTGGCAGAAAATTTGCGCACAGATAAAACAAAATAAATAAATAAAATAAACATCTGTGTAAAACCATTGGCTTCTTCGCTTCACTCAGAATCTAAAAATGTAACCGTCGATTGAACATTTCACCGTCACTGGCGTCAGCTGCGATTCATGCACGTGCAATTGAATAGTATTGCAATAATAATATACTAACAATGCAGCTATCTATAGCGGCACCACCGCCGAGCGGATGGGAATAAAATTAATTCTGGTAAGAGCATTTCCCGTTCGGTCTTTTTTTTTTATAGATATATATGTATATAACCGGTCATACAATTTGCATACGTATTATCGTTACACTGCGCACTTATTACCATATATATAATATATAAAAGTATAGTGATCAACTGCCATCCGGCCGCGAGGTAACGACGACGGTGCCGTGCACTGCACATTATTCACTCGGATAAAATATTTAAAAAAAAAAGGTTCGCTTGGAAGAATATATATTTTTTTAACTATTGCTGCGTTCGTTCTCCGTTATAATAATATGTATTTTTTTTCCGGGGGGTGTTCACTTTTTTTTTTTTTTTAAGTGTAGCAGTTACATCGTAATAGCTTCCTAAGTTTGACACGTGAATACGGGGGAATACACGCTCGCAAAATAACGTTTAACCCATTCTATTTTATATTATTCAATCGCGGAAGAATTGCGACAATTTTTCAATTTTTTTTTTTTACTCTTGTTAACATTATAATATCACTGTTTTAAAATAAAGAAACGAAGAACGGGAAAGATTTCCTTTTTTAAAAATGAAACGAAAAACGGGAATAAATTCCTTTTTATAAGGAACTCCCCCAACACTGCACTATACGTGATTATTTACCATCATGGTTATTTTTCTGTAATGAGAATTTATTTCACTAGACTTTGTCGAGTTACAATTATTATTTTCACTAATTTTGCCTATACATTATAATCGATAAATCATGGATAGTATTCTGAATATTTAAAAAATACTTTATTTTTCGGAAATGTTCAATATTGTATTCCGATTACTTTTTCACAGAGTGTTCACATTTCTTAAAAAAAACAATTAAATACTTTAAGAGTGAATCTTTAGAGTGTTTAACTATTCACTATAAGACGTGAGCTTTATTTTTCTCTTGGAAAATATATTTTCGGTAGGTAAAAATATAATCCGACTATGTTCTGCGCTTCTCTAAAAGATGCGTAATGTTCATGCGATAGTATTCGATTAAAAATGGGTTTTTTTTTTTTAACTCTAAACCGTTTACTCCCACTTCACCATTTACTTTTGGATTTTTCTCGAAAAGCAATTATTTTCAGTTAATTTTCACATACAGCAATGTCACACGCGTCAGAAAATCAGTACTCTTTTTTAAAGACACCTGTCTGTTCTTCAAATAATCGTAATATTTTTCTCAGAGTATTTGGAATATTTTGAAAATGTTTTTAAATAGTGTTTTACCAAAGTCTGTTCATAATATTATACGTGGTATTGAAGTCCAGTATGCAGCTACTTCTCTTGGGGGCTCCCTCTAGATTATAAATAGTATATGTTATCATGAAATGAAGGCCAGGGACGAATCCCAACTCCCCCCCCCCACAGACATATTATTTCTCCAATTCTTTTTTAAAATTCTATAGATCCTGATATTGCTGTCTTTCTTGCGCGCTGTCACCACTAAAGTTGGTCCCGGACAATCGCAAATAGATTTTAGTTCATTAAACTACTATCATACTATAATAATTAGAACCGTAGACATTGTAATTGTATTTGTATTGTAAACAAACTGTTGGGCACTCTCCCTCGACAGATATTTACTCTGGATCCTTGCCTGATATGAGGCCCGAAAATATCAAAAATCCATAGTCATTTGTTTCATTTGTGTGTATGTGTGTGTGTGTGTGTGAGGGAAGGGGGTGAATATTTACACTGATTTTGTTCTTTATTGTCCCGGTCGCACGATCACTTGGAAGTGTATAATAATATTTCGTTTAAATAACATTTAAAAAAATAATGTACACAAAAAAAATATCACGATAATGCCGGAAAGTACATCATCACCCTCATCATCGTTATCCCCTCCGATTCGCACAAAATTATTATGTAATAAACCCTGCTTTTTTTAAGTACCATTTTACAAAAAGGCGAATCTCCTCTACACATAATAATATTATAATTAATGTGGAGAGTTTTATTATTTTTTTTTTTTTATTCCGTATACTGTATAGGTACATAATAAAATTATTATTTATGTAAACTTTTCGATATTATAGCGCTGGTGTTTTAATATTTTAGATACTAATTATTCGAATTTTCGTTACGTTCGTTTTTTTTTTTTATGATTGTGTATTATATAGCTTTGAAATATAACCCGTCCCCCCATCTTTAAAATCAAACCGAACAAGTTTTGTATAACACTGAGATAAAAATTGATTAAATAAAAAAGCAAAAAAATCAAGTGTCTTCAATAACAATGTTATAGCAAACTTGTAAACTCTACAATATTGTTCCGGATCCATCATCATCGCAAGACTTCCACTCACGTGATTCGAACGTTTCATTTTTTTACACTGACGAAATACCCGTGCAAGCACAATACTATAACATACTTCGGGTAGGTAATACGCGGATATTGAAAAGCGGAAAATACTTTATAAAATTACTATTTCCTCTCTTCCGCCACAGTCTTTTCGAAATTGAACCTCTAACGACGCAAAAGGCATACAGCGTATTCCATTATGTGTTCAGTGTGTCGGATAGATAAAATCATCTAAAACAAAATAATCTAGACAATGTCGACTTATTATTTATTGTACCTAGGTACAATACCGAAAATATCGTAACTATGTCTTCGTATTCTTAATTCAATGTATATTATGCATAGTATAAATAATATGCGATCCATATAATTACCAAATATAATATGATTATCATTTTTATAAAGAGTGTGTATTTCTTTCTTTTTCTTTATTTTTGATTTTTTTTATATTGCTCGATTTCTATTAACTGTATCGGTACAACTTGGAAATTCGCAAATGTTTCAGATTAATATGTTTTCGACTACAAATATTGATTTTTCATAGCCCACTAAAATAAAAAAAATACATAAATAGTAGACGTACTTTTTTAGTATGCCTATATACTATTATGAATTTATGAATACGTAATAATAATATATGCTATGAATACAAACGAGAAATACTTATATGCCTATATACTCACTTCAAAGATAAATGGCATGCATTCCCATCATCTTTGTTTAGTGAAAAATTATTTAATTTCATTGATATTGAACGCAATTGCACACTTCTCTGTTTCCTATAAAATTCATAATCTATTAAATGAAATAAGAGACAATTTAAATCGTACCATATGATAAATGCAGATAAACTGCATATGTCACAGTACCTACGACAATTAATTCAGTTATAATTGGCTATCTAGTAATCATATTTAACAAATCTTTTACGGTTGTCTAGATGTATTAAAATTGTCTATTATTTTTATCATAGATAAACCTTGAATCATAATCCTGATGAATCTCGAATCTTGATGAAAAAATATCGGTTATTGATTCCGACACTGCAGGGCTTCATCATTATCGGTTCTTTTTTTAAAAAAAAAAAAATCGTTTTTTGGGTCTTTTATTCACTACACACATACACACACACACACACACACACACACACACATTCAAAACACACAATAATATGCAATATGTACAAGTCCTTACGAATACATTATTACTATATAAATGTGAATACATAATATATTATACATATTATTATTATTAAAATGTGTATTAGTAATATGACCGAGGAATTTTCATTTCGCTCGGTTATGTGGCCGTCTCGCGCGTTATACATAACAGTATAATAATATTAATACGAGAACACATTCTCATATTATATTACATAATTTCACAGACACTCTTCTCTGTTACGGCGCATACTGCGTTTTTACAGCCGGTTCGTCTCCGCGGTCCAACATAATGGTCATCGGCTTCGGGGCAAAACCAAAAAAAAAACCAATAGAAATCCTCACAGTGTGATATTATAATAACATAATGTTATGGTTATACAATTTAAAATCGACAAAATCGTACTCGGGAGATGCGTTATTATTGTTATTATTATTATTTTTGAAGGTATAAGGTATAAAATCTGCGGTACCCGGTACGAACCGAGCGTAACATTTAATGGAAAATCGAAAAATACGCGCCTACAAAAAACCCGGGTTAGGTCTCTGGGTTAACTTTACAACAATAGAAAAATAAGACTACAATACGATGCTCAGAATCGCATTATTGTCGCGTATAAATAAAATTATCCAACCAATTTCGACCAAGACGCCTAGGCGTATTGAAAACCCTATCGCCATGCCAATGAACTATAACGTATTATGGGTAATGAACAATGTGACTGTGTTACTGTTCGTGTTACATTATTTGAAATTTTGGTTCCGTCGTCGTCAGGTCGTAACTGGGGTGGTATAGGTGTATTCCGAATGAGCAACAAGCCATCATCGTCATATTCGTTTCGCCTGATTTTAATATTCTTACGTTCTTCTCGTTTATATTCTACTACGTAATCTACGTTCTTGTATTCCGTAGTTGTTATTTGTATAACAATAATATGTAACTGCATTGGACATTGTTTTTTTTTTTTTGGCAAATAATAATACTGCGTTGGTGAGTATACGTCATACACAGATGTAATATACAATATACTAGATAGCTAACCGTTGCTGAGAAGTTAAATTTAAATCCCTCGTTCAATTCGAAACTCGTAGGCCTTATCATTCGGTTTTATATTATTGTGATAACTGTTTTTTCGTATCTAACAGCGATCACGATATAACAGTATGTTATAGGTGGTCCTCGAATTAAATTACTGCCGTATATCCGTATATATCCGTATATATAATATATATCTATATTAAAACGATGTAAATATTTTTCGTCTGAATCATTACGGTTATTACAATCGTTATGCATTTAAGTATTTTTGTTCATCGGTGTTTTCTGTTTTTTTTTTTTTTTTTTTCCAATGGAAATATTGATAATATTAGCAACGAATTATTTCGATTTTATTGTGTGCCGAACAAAACGATTTTAACTGTTTAGCTGGCACGAACATCGTGAAATATTGTTCAAAACTGCCGTTGTCTGATTTTCCGTTATATTTTTATCGCGTATTTTAATTCTTCTTTTACCTTTGACGATTCTTCCAGTGGTGTATAAAAACTAATCGAAATGGTCGCGAATGTCGTTACGCGCTTGAACGTTCGAAACTCACGACTTTTTTATAAACTTATTTTGCTCGCTCTCTCGTTCGAGCGAATATGTATGTTGAACTCAATTTATTGGTCCCACACGTGCCGAGTCAATGTTATACGGGTCACGTGTGGAATGAGCAAATGGAAATATTCCATAAAAACGAAAATATTATTCTTGTTGCGCTCACGAGGGGTCAGCACATCTGTAGGACCGCGGGGTAAAAAATAAAAAAATAAAGGTAAGGAAAGGAAAAACGCCTCCCTAGAGGCTATTACGACTGCGGTGAAAAGGAAGCGAAAATATTTTTCGACTTGGTACTTCAGATGCGAGGGCGAGGGTAAATCATAGCGTTTGTTTTGTTTGCAATTTGCCGAACGTTCGCATCAGGATCGAAGGGTCTCGAACTTTTTGCAAAAATGTTCATATGAATTGTGTGCGAATATATTTTAAAATATTTGTTTTGGTCCCAGAATCCATCCGAATTTAATTTAAAACCGCTATTTCTCAAGGATTTCGAAATGGGTGTGGCTGTAGGTCCCTCTCCCTCCCCCAACTAAATATGTCCTTAGTACCTATATATTCTTGTTGCTGTTATTATTATTATTATTATTGTTGTTTTGTGTTATTAATGATACTCTGTTCAAATGTTTTCCGACATACATAAATACGAATATAATAACATTGTTATTCTTATTCACATTTTTCTAACCGGGCAAATAATCGAGATATCGATTGACAAAAGAATACTAACCTAACGAATTTTACTCGAATACGCAACTATGACTACTGGAAAATAACCAAATGTTCGTTTAAATTTACAGTACGAAAATAATATAGAATAAAAGGTCTAAAAAATTGAAAGAAAACTTTAATATACAATTATATACAATGAATTTGCGATAATGGGCTGATAAAAATTATTATTAAAATATGCAGATTTGGTCGAAATAAATTATTATGAGGTACTAATAATACATATTCAGCCGCGTTAAGGTTAGGTCCGGTCGTCACTGGTCATGGGTTAATACAAATCTGCGAATATAAGTTCTGAAAAAAAAATCCAATATACAAATTTGTAATTGTATTTTTTAGGTTTTATTTATTTCAATAGTTAAAAAAATGCTTCTTGCTAGTTTTTAAAACAAAAATTTGTTTAAGTTCAGGGCTATCTGTTATAATAATAATATTATATTATTGCTATGATATTTTATTGTTCGTGTACAAAAAACAAAAAGTACAATGTAGTTATATTTATTTCCGCTACTACACCATTTTATACTGTTACCGTCCGTACAAAACAATGATTCTGCTTACTTTTTTCTTTTCTTTTTTTTTGTGTGTTTCGCACAAAACCCGTTGCCAACGAAATCACAAAGAATATACATTCATTTTCAAAGTTTTAAATTACTTCTTTTAAAAATGTATACTTTTTAATTTATTGAAATAACGAAAAAAAAAGAGAGACTTTATCCCGTGTACCCCGGACAGGTATTTCGTCGAAAAAAATATATCACGACGACGCAACAATATTGTTCACAAAAAAAAAGCTCGAGAGGTAAAATCGTTTTAAAATTATTCACCGTAGAGCGTTTTAAATATTCCAATATTATTCTTTTTTTTTTTTTTGATAGGTAAATACTCTAAAACGGCTTTATTAGTATATTCTTTTTTTATATGCAGGTTCGAAATTTAATCATTTTTACCCATTCGATGTGTACAATGTACAAAATACGTATACGAGTATAGGTAGTAAGTATTTAATATCACATAACAATACAAGTATGCAGGGATATCTGGACGAGTCTTGTATAGTAACTCCATACATTCTATACATATTGAAGTACAAAATATTGTACAATACAGTTAAGGGTAATTTTCAAAAATGTACTTCATACTATTAGCCTTACTTTTGTTACTAGATTCCTACATATTTTGTGACTTAGTCTGACACTAGAATTCATTTACATTTTAAAATTAATTTTAGCTTAGCTTAGTTAATTCTTATTTTAGGATAATGTATAACATAAACTAGTTGAATCATTTTGAGTAACTTTTCCAGCTTTGGTATTCGAACATTTAAAAATACGCCCAGAAGTTGTCCAGTGTAATCAAAATGAAAATTTTTTATTTATTAGAAATTCCCATTTTGGATTTAAATACATTTTAATCAGTTTTATAATTATAAGTAAAATGCTTAAAAGAATCCAAAATCTCCGTTGTAAATAAATGTTCGGATATCGAAATTCCGGATTGTGTCCATAACAAAGTACTAATATATTATAATTGTTATTATACCTCAAATATTACATATTTTGAGTAATTTA